TACTATATTTAAATTAAATTTAATAAATTTAAATTTTTATACTAAATTTTAATTTTTAAATATAGTAATAGTTACTAAATATAGTTACTAAATATACGAAAAATAAAACCTCAAAACCTAAAACCAAAATCATAATAGACGGAAAGGAAACTATTTGATGAAATGGTATAATTTTGGAAGTCACTTTTTGGCACGACACTTTGGAAACAAGTTAAACAATAATACTATTTTTCTGTAATCTTGTCACTAGGCAAAACTTACCACTTCTGTTTGCCTCTGCCTTCACTTACACTTCTATTTATTCTCATTTAAGTACCATACTTTTCGCACGTTTTTGGAGCATTAATTGTTTAGAGTTCCCTTGGTTAAATCAACTTATGCAGGTTCGATTTTCTGGCTTTTCTCTTCTCTCTTTACTCCATCTCATTTCCTTCTTATCATAGAAATTTGATAGCTATTGTAGGCAAGTAAGTTGATAAAATTCAATAATAATTAAAAAAAAAATCTCTCAAACCAATCATTTTTTACCTAAAACATTTTAATATCCAAATATTAAATTTAAGATCAAACTAGCATTCATCCATTTTTGGTTTACAACGAATTAGAAGTTTTTCTTCAGCTTAACATTTTAGAATAAAAATATATATTAATCAAGGAAAAAGTTTATTTGGGCCAAAAAAAAAAAAAACCGTAGAAAGAGTTTGTTATAATGCCATTTCTTTGATTTTGAGTTGTAGGTATTTTCCAGCATCAATAGAGACCATGATCATGGGCTTTATCTTCCTTCCAATGTTGTTGATGCAATGCTTCATGGCTGCCTTAGCCATGTCTCAACCAAACTTGACAACAGACCAATATGCCCTTCTTCAATTCAAAGCTTACATCACTTCTGATCCTTCGAATATCATGTCCTCCAATTGGTCCTCTTCTGCCACCTCAATCTGTAATTGGGTTGGTGTTTCCTGTGGTGCTTTTCATAGTAGAGTCACAGCCTTGGATCTTCCAAACATGAATCTCACTGGCAGCCTCCCTCCTCACTTGGGAAACCTCTCATTTCTTGTTTCTATCAACTTGAGTGGAAACAGCTTTAATGGCCATTTGCCTCCAGAATTAGGGATGCTACAACGTTTAAGGTTCATGGACTTGAGCTTCAATTTTCTTGACGGATGCATCCCAGATGAGATTTGGTTGCTTTCAAAGTTGGAGATTTTTAGATTAGGATGCAATCGGCTTACTGGAACTATATCAAGAAATATTGGGAACTTAACAAAGTTAAGGATAATATATCTTGGAACAACAAAAATAAGAGGTATAATTTTAGATTTTTCTAATTTGTATTCTTTTCTTTGATAGTATATGTTGAGAGTTAAGTAGGGATTCATCATTCTTCAATTAAACTCTAAACTCCCAATTTTTTTGCAGGGGAAATACCAAAGGGGATAGGTAATCTTCATAATTTGGAGAAACTTTCAGTAGGAAATGCAAGCCTATCGGGTCTTATTCCGCCAAATATCTTCAATATCTCTTCTTTAAGATGGATTTATCTTTACACAAATAACCTATTTGGTACCCTTCCTATTGAGTTGTGCTACCATCTGCCAAATCTTGAGGAGCTTTATTTGCATAAGAATCAATTAAATGGCTCAATTCCCTCAAGTATACATAGATGCAAGAAGCTTCAGTGGTTGACTCTAAGCATTAATAGATTCACCGGATACATCCCAAGAAGCATTGGGAACTTGTGTGAACTAACTGAAATATATCTCAATGACAATGAGTTTAAAGGTGAGGTTATTGAATATGTTTTATTTCCATTCAAAATATATGAGATTGATAATTTTTAAGTCACTTCACTTTACTCTCAACACTATAAACTTCAGGAAAATTTTCTTAATAGGGGCCATTCTAATGCAAAGCCCCTTAATTTTTTTAAGTTTATTCTTCTTTGTTATAGTTTACTTTCAAAGTTGTAGATTCTTAAAGTAGAAAAGAACCAACTTATAGGAACTATATCTAGAAATATTGGGAACTTAATTAAGCTAAGAGAAATATATATGGGAGATACAAAAATAAGACAGATGAATTTGTATTTTTCTAATTTGTCTTTGTTCTTTGATACTATATGTTGGGAGTTAATTAGGGATTCATCATTCTTCAATTAAACTCTATACTCCTAATTTTTTTTGTAGGGGAAATACCAGAGGAGATTGGTAATCTTCATAATCTGGAGATACTTTCAGTAGGAAATGCAAGCCTATCAGGTCTAATTCCACCAAATATCTTCAATATCTCTTCCTTAAGATGGATTTATCTCTTCGCAAATAACCTTTCTGGTACCCTTCCTATTGACTTATGCTACCACCTGCCAAATCTTGAGGAGCTCTATTTGCATAAGAATCAATTAACTGGCTCAATTCCCTCAAGCATAGGCAAATGCAAGAAGCTTCAGCTGTTGGTTTTAGAAACTAATAGATTCACCGGATACATTCTAAGAAGCATTGGGAACTTGTCCGAACTCACTAAAATGTATCTTACTTTCAATGACTTGGAAGGTAAGATTCAATAAGCTCGCCAAGACCATTCCAAAGGGTATTGGAAACTGTACTTTACTCAATTATTTTGACACATCTAAAAATTTATTGATAGGTACCAATATAATGAAAACTCTTTCTCCAGAATTAATTTTTCATCTCTTATCTTCCCTAAACAATTTTATCTTTGCAAAAAAATTGAATGCAAGTTAAAAAGTTTATCAATTAATTTGTTTATATGTTTGATAGGTAAAATACCAGAGGAGATTGGCAACTTACCCTTGAGGTTTTTGGATATGGGATTCAACTTCTTGACCGGTTCCATTCCTCCCATGATCTTCAACATCTCAACCTTGGAAATCTTTTACTTAGTAAAAAATAACCTTTCAGGTCATCTTCCTTCAACCCTTGGACTTGGGCTTCCAAAGCTTATTGAGCTAGCACTGTCAAATAATAAACTTAGTGGCAATTTTCCAAGTTCTATCTCCAATTCTTCCCAGCTTACCATTCTAGACATAAACTATAACTCATTCTCTGGCCTTTTCCCCAATTCACTTGGCAATCTAAGATTACTTAATTGGCTTGGCCTTGTTGGAAACATGTTCTCTAAACTATCCACTTCAGAAAGAAGCTTTCTCTCTTCTTTCATAAACTGTAGATTTTTGACACGTCTAGAAATATCGTCTAATTCATTGACTGGTGTCCTTCCAGGTTCAATTGGGAATCTATCTAGATCTCTTCAATATTTTTATATATGCAATAGCAAATTTTACGGAACATTCCCGTAGAAATTGGCAACTTGAGCAACTTGATAAGTTTGGCTCTTTATGGTAATGATTTGGCTGGACCAATTCCAGCAACAATTGGAAGATTGCAACAGCTCGAAGGTTTATATCTTTATGGTAATAGACTTCAAGGAAAAATTCCAAATGATCTATGTCATTTAGAGAGATTAGATCAATTGGAATTGAATTGTAATAAGCTCAATGGATCCCTGCCAGAGTGCTTGGCCAATTTGACTTCTTTAAGAACCCTATACTTAGATTCCAACAAATTAGTTTCCACCATACCCTCAACTTTCTGGAGCCTTAAATATATCTTGATTGTAAATTTGTCATCAAATATCTTTTGTGGCTCTCTTCCATCAGATTTTGGAAATCTAAAGGTTTTGATCAACATGGATTTATCTAGAAATCAATTATCAGGCAATTTGCCTAGCAGCATTGGGGATCTCAAAGATCTAACTTATCTTTCCTTAGCAGAAAATGCATTAGAAGGTAACATTCCTCAATCATTTGGTGGCATGGTAAGCTTGGTCTTCTTGGATCTTTCTAACAACATTCTTTCTGGAGTGATTCCTAAGTCTTTGGAAGGGCTCTCCCATCTCAAATTCTTCAATATATCTTTCAATAGATTTGAAGGAGAAATCCCAAGCAGAGGATCATTCAAAAACTTGTCTGCTCAAGCATTTATGGGAAACACTGCCCTCTGTGGTTTGCCAAGATTTCAAGTGCCTCCATGTAAGTCCAAGTCCCACAAAAAATCCATGCATGTGCTAAGACTAGTGTTGCCACTTGTAGCAGCTACCATATTGATACTTTCCCTTATCATCATCATCACCTTCAAAAGACAATATAAATCAAAAGCAAAATCCTCAGATGAAGAAATTTTGCCAAGTCTACCAAATTGGAAAAGAATTTCATACCTGGAGCTTCAACATGCAACTGACAATTTTAATGAAAGAAACTTACTTGGCATAGGGAGTTTTGGGTCAGTGTACAATGGAACACTTCCTAATGGAATGAACATTGCAATAAAGGTCTTCAATCTACAAGTAGAGGGTGTGCTCAAGAGTTTTGACACAGAATGTGAAGTACTGTGCAATATTCGCCATCGAAATTTGGTCAAAATCATTAGCAGTTGTTGTAATGAAGACTTCAAGGCCTTGGTGCTTGAGTTCATGCCTAATGGGACCTTGGAGAAGTGGTTATATTCTGATGGATATTGTCTAAATATCCTCCAAAGATTGAATATAATGATTGACGTGGCTTCTGCTCTAGAACATCTCCAACATGGACATTCAATTCCAATCATTCACTGCGATTTGAAACCTAGCAATGTGCTACTTGATGAAGATATGGTTGCACATGTGGGGGATTTTGGCCTTGCGAAGCTTCTGGGATAAGGGGCATCTGTAATTCAAACAATGCAAATTGCCACTATAGGCTACATGGCACCAGGTTATAATTTATTTTTCCCCTTTCTTTTTACTTGTTTACTATTTAATTTACTTGTGTGAAGATAAATTTAATTGTATCTATTATAATTTGATACAGAGTATGGATCTTTGGGAATGGTTTCTGCAAAGGGGGATGTTTATAGCTATGGCATTTTAGTCTTGGAGACATTCACAAGAAAGAAACCGACAGACAAAATGTTTGCTGGAGAAATGAGCTTGAAGGCGTGGGTGAATGAATCATTATCTCATTCACGAACAGAGGTTGTGGATGCCAATTTGATGGAGGAGGATGAGCATTTCATTGCCAAAGCAAACTGTGTATCATCTATTATGGAGGTAGCTTTAAATTGCTGTGCAGAAGCACCCAAAGTAAGGAGAAATATGATGGATGTCGTAGCAATGCTTAAAAAGATCAAAAATCAGTATCTCATGGATATTAGAGACTGAGTAGATCCCGTAAATTAAAATGATAGAACTAGAGACTACTTTACTGTTGAATTTATGCTTTTGAACCATGATGGTATCTCCTGTAAATTTCTTAAGATAATTTCATGAAAAACTACATTCTGTTTCCTTGGCTATCTAGTTAGCATGGAAAACATATATCACTCCAATAGCTTTTCAACTCTGGAAAAAAAATATTCTCGCTCTTTAAAGAATAAAAAATTACCGATTAATAAGCCATGCATAAATGCAAATCCAGAACGAAAAAACCTATTTCAGCCAATCTGGGCAAAATACGGCATGGAGACTTTTCACTGTTTGAGGAAAAAGGCAGCAATGTTTTCCAATACAAGTAAAAAGCAAGAGTTGAACAGTGGCAGATGTAAATATAAGAGTATCTTTACCATAATTGTAAAATCACTGACATTAATAGAAATGACGTTGAGGGTGTAATTATCTTATAAAAAACAAGAGAATTATTCAAAATTGATAAAATGGCTACTGAAACAAGGCTCATGTCTACGCTCATTCATCCTCCTGGCTGCGCAACCTAGCTAGCTTGTTAGTAACAACAATATCAAGCTGAGCAGCTCTCTCCACAATCTCCTTCCTCTTCCTTGTGGAGACATCATGAGCAATCTCAGCACAGTATGTCCTACAAAGCAAGGGAAAATAGTAAATGATTGGAAAATGTCAAAACTGAATGGGTAATGAATGTTACAAAAAATTTAAGACACCTGTTGTGCATCATGAGCAGCTCAAGCTCTTTGGCGTTGTGCACAACAAATTTCTTGAAACCATTTGGAAGATAATGACGAGTCTTCTTGTCTGAGCCATAACCAATGTTAGGCATCAACGTACATCCCTTGAACTTTCTTCGAACCCGAGAATCAATACCCTTTGGTCTACGCCAGTTTGGCTGTCAATCATGATTAGATTTCAAATAAAAATGTCACAATGATGCAGTAGGAAATATAGATAACAACCAGTTTTAAAGGGAAAATATAACAGCAGAAGATGTGAGCAGGGTTAAAGTAACAGAGAGCCTATGGAAATGCAAGCTAACTGTGTCGCAAGACCTGTTCCATATTTATATCTGCCCTTCAAACGAAACGTCCAGTTATAAAGGAATAATACTGGACATCAGATACCATGGGCAATAAAACTTAACAATAAAATTTTTCTACTTGCCCAAGAGGAAAACAATACAAAAATGATATCCAAGAGGAAAACAATACAAAAATGATATCTGACAGTCACTGAATTCTAAATGAAATAGAAAAGAGAAACAATTTATTTTCAGTTAGAATCTGCAATCTCAGTCGAAAGATGGTGATAATTTTAACTCATCAAAGTTAACTCAGGTCTGATGATTCATTTCCATCATAGATTGCAGTAAATGGAGAGAATTTAAATCCATCCACTTGAAATCAATTACAAATTCACAGAAATCTCAAAAGAAAACCCTTGAAATTTATAATGGATGCAAACATGCAAAAGAGATCAGATGGTAGTGCATGTTTGTATTCATCATTCAAAATGCAGAAATAATGGATAAGTTCATCACGCCTCTTTGCATATTCCAAGAAGAATAAGTAACTAAAAATGATTATACAAATAGGGTCATCACATACGCTGTGATTTAGCATGCACAATAAAAAAAGAAAAACAATTTTTCTGCTAATTGCTCTCCATGCCACATGGATCAGATAGTCGATCGCTTGCTCACCATATTGCAAAAGCAAGTGAGACTGGGTGTCATGATCTCTATCATCATGTCCTTACAAAACCCAACTCAACCAAAAAAAAGAAAAAAACCTTCAAAAATGTCAAAGAACTCTAGAACTGATAGAATCCAAAAACTATAGTAGCTTTGCACTGACACTAACAAGAACAGACATATTGATGGAATCAGATAATGTGTCAATCACCACCTTGCATCAAAATATGCAAATAAGACTGGGGCGACAAACCTTATCATCACATCCCTAATGAAACCACGTAGAAAACATAAAAAAGGGGGAAAACGAACTTCAAACCTAAAAAACCGAGCTTGCAAAGAAAGATTTAAACACC